CACAGACATTTCCACCCACATTTGGGGGAGGAGTGCATCTTATACCCCAAAAAATACCGTAAATGAGAAATACCTGTACTTAGATTTTGATGGTATATAGTTGGATGCTGTCAGCTTACTGGCATTAGCCTCTTCCCCAATTTTATTTTTTCCTGGCTTCAGTCTAAAGCCTCCAGGGTATAAATCTCTTTGCCGTTAGGAGTAGGAGTGACACCAGTTGGAAATCCTTTGGGAAGAAGCGTAGAATATTCACCATCATTGTCATCTTCAACTGGGTGGAGTTGTATGTTTGAAAGTACAAGGTTGGTGAAAGCTACACCTCCTATAAACATGGTGTGTGTTTGTGATTATGTGATTATACACACACAGACACACACACAAACAGAAGTGGCTGCTTTCTATAATTCAAAGGCTACACTAAGAAGAATTGCTTTTATAGATACTGAGTACTCCCGAAAAGCCATTCTATCCATTATTTAGTAAGAATAAACTGGCCCATTTTAAACTTCTTTCTTCATTTAAATTTCTTGGCAAAGTTTCCTTGTCCTTTTCCATACCCCCGATGCATCATCTTTAAAATCTAATCTATGTTTGTTTTGACTGTAAAAATCATCAGGACTGGATTTCCAAAATGAATGCTAGGTGATTAGATTGTTTGCTTTCTGCACATTTATTATGGAGAGTTCTTTTGGTAGTATAGCAAAAGTATACAGTTCCTATCAATTTTTCAGCTGTCAAAGACATATGGGACCTTTCTAAGTAAGCTTTAGTTGGAAAGTGAAAATATACTTGATTTAATCCCTTTCTGCTTGCATGAGAGTTGTTTAACCTTTGGAAAGGCTAGAAATATTTTCATGATGGATAAAGCATTTTTACAGAAGAAAAAGATAATTTAAAAATCAAGAAGCTTCCTTGCATATCAGGTCACGCTATTACCTACGCAGTCTAATTTCTCTAACTGACAGCAGTATCTTAGACAAGACTTTTTTTAACCAGAATTACCAGAAATTGAACTGGGACTTCATCATGAGTTACGTTTTAGTTTCATTTATATTTTATTACTCTCCACTTGATGTTGCCAGATTTAAAGTCTAAGGAACTATAATTCAGATTTCTCTGCAATTCTGCCTCCCCCCGCTCAAAAAAAAAAATTGTCTCCAAGTATTTTGACGTATCTACAATACTCAGCTAATGTCACCCAGCCTGGTACTATAAAGTCTAGCACATTCAAATATCACCAGACTAGGGAATCCTGTATTTCATTAAAAATCTCCCTCCTCCATTTTTTTCTTTTGTAAAGGTTAAACAACTCTCATGCAAGTTTTATTCAATTCTGATCTCTTGGGATTTCTGGTCCTATAAAGGATATAAAAAGTCTACCCAGACCTATTAAAATGCCATGTTTTTGAGGTGTAAAAAATCAGACTAAGATAATTTACTTAAGAATTATTTCCATCATTAATTATAACATATAAGCTGTACAATTCAATTGAAAAACAAATGTAAAACATGTAGGGGGGCGGGGGGGGGTAAAAATAAAAAACAATAATTTGAGGTTATAAGAATGCTTTACATCTCACTTGAATTATACAGGTAGTCCTTGATTTATAACCACAATTGAGCCCTGAATTTCTGCGAGAATTTAAGCGAGACATTTGTTAAGTGAGTTTTGCCCCATTTTACAACCTTTCTTGTCACAGTTGTTAATAATACAGTTGTTAAGTGAATCTGGCTTCCCCATTGACCTTGCTTGTCAGAAGGTTGCCAGAGGGGATCACATGACCTTCAGGCACTGCAATCATTGTAAATATGAACCAGTTGCCAAGCTCCTGAATTTTGACCATATGATCACAGGAATGCTCCAATGGTCGTGTGAAAAACTCTCATAAGTCACTATGTTCAGTGCCATTCTAACTTCAAACAACTAACATTCTAACTTCAAACAACCACTAAACAAACTATTGTAAGTCGAGGATTGCTTGTACCTAGAAGCCTTGTGGGATTCAGAACAGCTTCTGGAGTAGAAGTATAACATGAACTTAGTAATGCCAAAAATTGCCCACACTTTTGCATTCAGAACCAGCTGCAGTTTTTGAATGTCCCATTTCCAGATCACATCACAACAGCCCCAGGACAAAATTCAGATTTAATTTGCGACTACCAATGTACATCAAGCCTCAATGACTTGGGATGGGTCCATCATTACCATGGAGGTCACAAATTCCTGAGCTACCTTGGACTCAACCCATATTCCTTCATTTCTCCAACTTTGGCATTCCAATCATGATTTTTTTTTGTGTCCTTTCATGTAGCAATGTTTACAGTTATCTGCTAATTTTTTCACTACATATAGCAATAGCAGTAGACTTATATACCGCTTCATAGGCCTTTCAGGCCTCTCTAAGCGGTTTACAGAGAGTCAGCATATTGCCCCCAACAATCTGGGTCCTCATTTTACCCACCTCGGAAGGATGGAAGGCTGAGTCAACCCTGAGCCGGTGAGATTTGAACCGCTGACCTGCTGATCTAGCAGTAGCCTGCAGTGCTGCATTTAACCACTGCGCCACCTTGGCTCTTACACTACATCTGTATAGGAGCATACAATTGTACACTGTTGATATTAATCAAATGTCTATCAATGCTGACAGATAGGTTTCTGTAGTTTATAGATTTATAGCTAAACTCACACCAATTTCATAATTTCACATGGATCACTAATTTTCACATTCCATTCCATATTTTCATTTAGTGTGCCAATCCACTGAAATAGGTTTTTTTTCTTAATTTCAAGTAGTTGGTACTCACCGAAAGTCTTTGATCTTCACTGTCATTCAGAATACAGAATATTCTGTATTGAAATTCAGAATACAAGTCCAGAGGTGTTTAAGAAAGTGACATATGTATTGGTCAAATATCCATTAAGGCTTCGCAGTGATTGAAGGCACATTGTAAATCCCCTAGTTCCCAAACTTTAACTTGCAACAGAACACAAGAAGCTCGGTTTCTATAGTCTCCTTCCAAGAGTGCAATTTGGTAATCCCAAAGATCTTTCTTTGCCTCCAGAGGGACTTTTGTCAACCAGAGAGTAGCTCCTGGCTTCAATTCCACCACAATCTTGTCCCTACTCACAAAGTACTCAGTGTTGCTTAATCCACCATCACCAGCAGTGTTGCTTAATCCACCACCTCATCTGGAAGTTTATTACTTTAATAATACTGGTCCCAATGCTTTTCAACCTGGGATCATATCATTTGACACTCAAACTTGTTTAAATGTTTCCACTAAACCCATATTGCTTTTGTGCCATTAATAGAAACATGATTTTTTTTGTTGCCTTATTTCAGGTTTAATGCTAGGGATTGCATCTCTTAGGAAATCCTAATGTGTACAAAGCCTCACATTTTCTTTCCCCATTATGGATTACCCTTAATTTCTACTCTCCTGTTTCTATTTTATCACTAGAGGAAATCCTATGAGATGTTTCCACATCCACCAGTAGAGTTCTTAAGGTCTTAAGGAGCCACTGAAGTATCCAACAATATCAAGGTGGTCATCTTCTAGGAGGAAGATGCAAATAATCTAGCCTTTAAAGCTATGATATAGCCAGAAATCATGTTAGAAACATTTGCTATATATTTTAAAATTTCAGGAATGCTATTTTTCTCATTAAACAAATGAAAAAAGTTATACGAAATGAAGATAATGGATTGAACATAATCTGTATAAAATGAAAGGCTTTCTAAAATGCTAATTTTATGGAGGTTGAAAATGAGACAAAAAGTTGGGAAGGTTTTATGACAATTACTTAATAAAAAGAAGAATGGAAAGCACAATTGTAGGTTTCTTGTCAATTTATTTCTTTTTTCTGTGTTTCTTATTTTTCTATCTTTGGTCTTGTTTATTTTCTATATTTTATTATATTGAAAGTTTCTAATAAAAGTTAAAAATGCTCATTTAACATCTTGATTTAAAGCCATTTTCATTTTTGAACCATACTTTCGTTTGAAGAATTGATATCTATGTGGATGCTATTTTCCTTCGCCTTCCTAATAGCACTTGGACAATACTAACAAAAGCTTGAAATCTTTGACTAGTATTTATCATGAACTGCTTGCAAATGAGGAGATCCCAAAGCAATGGTTTTAGAGTTGACAACATTTTCCTATTTATTTACACAATGCAGGTTGGTGGTGGTGGTGGTGGTGGTGGAAGAGTGAAGAGAGAATAGAATCAATAACCAGGAAAGAAAAAAAATGAGCCTTTGAAAGATTAAAATAAATTGGCTTAAGTTGCCTATTCAAAACCCCTTTCCTACTTCTAATCAACACTCACTCCAAGTAGGGTTTTCCTTCAAAAATTGTTTTTCAAACATGAAAACTTTAAACTCTCGGAATTCCCCGCCAGCTGGCTTGGATGACATTCTAAACATCATTTCTTTGATTCAGATAATATGGGTAAACTATGTTTATTCTAGCCTGGTAGGGGAAGTGACTCCATTAGGGGGAGAAGGTGTGGAGTGCCTAAATCATATCCGACTTCTCTAACTGTGTTGCCTAACTGCAGCCCATCAACTCCAATAAAAGTATTGTGTGTTCTGAAGCATCCATAGCACGGATGCTATGTGTTATTTTGGAGGGCTGTTTAGTCATATTCTACTTGTAAGAGCATTTTATTTTCATCACCCACTGTTGGACACCTCCGTTAATCCTTCATGCTTTTCATGGAAGAGTAGAGCTCGTGAAATTTTGATATCCTTTGAAAGGAGATGTTGCTGCAACTTGAATGCAAAACATATTTATTTCATGCAGTACATCTGCTTAGACAAAACTTATTTTTAAAAACAGGTAACCTTATCTAAAGCATAGTCTGCAGCTTTGCTGACCAGTGGAGTTTAGCTACTTTTTTTGTATGCAATATGTATCTATATAGTTATCTTCCATTAACATTAACTTTATGTTATGTGGACATTAACTTTTATGTTTTAAATTTGTCTTCTGCAGCTTCCAGTTATGGGAGGAGTGTTTATGGATTCGTCCAATGAAGAATTTAGCACAGAATATTCTTTGTTTAATTCATCTGCCAATGACTACACTACTGCCTCAGTGCCAAATCAGCCAGAAGAGACAGCTCGTTCTTCAAATGATGCCATTTTGTTATGGATTGCAATTATAGCCACAATTGGAAACATTGTAGTTGTTGGAGTTGTGTATGCATTTACATTCTGAGAAGTAAAGAAGACAACTCCAGGAGACACGTACGAACAGATGTACGTGTATGTATGTAACATTATGTGCACATACCTATGTAAAATGTAAATCTTTATACATATTGGTAGGTAGATGTAATTTCTTATCTAAGGTCCCAATTAACAGCAAGTGGCAAACAAAATCACCAAAGTACCCTTTACAAAAAAGATTTTTGTCTATTATGTGGAGATGAAACATAATTTACATCATAGCCAATTAAATATGGATCTAACATGAAAGGTCAATGTATATAAATGGAAAAGCAGATTTGTTCATCAAGGGCTCTATTGTGAATCTATAGGGTAACTAACCTTTGGATTAAACATTGGATACCTTTTTTTTTCAGGGTTGTTTTTTTGTTATTGTTGTAAGTCCCCACCCCCCCAGTTGTTACATTCTGCGACAGATGCCAGTGTAATTCTATTGTTCTCTAAAGACACAGAGCAAATGAAATTTCAATTCGTGTTGAAGTCTGCTAGGGAAAAATGGTCAGGGTGTTTACTGTTAAGTAGTGCAGAGCCTCGCAAGTGAAATGTACATTATTCACAAAAATTTCACAGATGGATAGATTCCTATTGTGGGCCAGATTTAATTTTTCAAAGCTTTCTCTCTGGGAGAAAAAAAATTGCGAGGAGTCCTAAAAATATCCACATGTCTGAATTTGAAAACAGCCCTAGGAGTTAGAAGCCCTCATTTGGGGAGACTGATTGGACAGGGTGGATTTAGAATCTTTCCTTTTGAGAGTGTTATAGTTTTCATGAATTTTAACTATCCAATTGGAATAGGCTTGGAGGGCTTGAGAAAATAAATTTAGAGGCAGCCAATTGCAACTCCAAAAATTATCTCACCTCGAGTTTATGGTGCAAATTAGGGTGCACCAATCTTTCTTAAAACCAAGAACCTTATTGGAAGTATTCTATAACTGTATGCCATAAAATCTGTTCTCCTTTTGCCAATTTTATGGAGATGTATTTTAAAATGGCTATTTTTGATCTTTTTCAGATATTTTTTAATCACACATATTTATGTGTAATTTGGTTGGTTGGTTTCCTTTATAACATAATGGATCTTTTTTGTTTAATTCATTTATAATCTTTTTTCCTCCAGAAATTTAAAGAAACTCCTTTTCCAAGTTTTTACTACAATTATAGCCCTGAGAAATAGGTTAACTAAGAACTTTTAACTTGAAGTGCTAAGAAATACTGTCTTAAGGCTATTGAAGGACTTGAACCTGGTCCTAATCCAATATCTAAACCATCATATGACACTGGTGTCATTATCTGATGTACCAAACTTTTTTCCTTTCCCTTCATATAATCCCATATAAAATGTCCCACAGTTCTGCCATATCTTACAATGCAGGCCTATTTTTGCATATACTATGAAACAGCAAATCATTTTTTCATGGAATACAGCAAATTATACTCATTTTCCCCCCTCCCAGCTGCTCATTCTGATTTTGCTAGCAGAATGTTTCACTCAGATTAATTTATGGGGGTTTTATCCAAGTCAGCAGCATGAGTAGTCTTCTACATACAACACATGACCGTTTTGCAACAGTTGTTAAGTTAGTAACATAGTTATTAAATGATGCTGACTTCCCCACTGACTTTGCTGGTCAGAAGGTTACAAAAGGTCATCCCAGGACCATTGGACACTAAATATATGCCAATTGTCAAGCATCCAAATCTTGACCAAATGACCATGGGGATGCTGCAATGATCATAAGTGTGAAACATGGTCATAAGTCCCTTTTTTCAGTGTCATTGTAATCTCGGATAGTCACTAAATGAATGGTTATAACTAGAGAACTATCTGTACTTTCTTTTTCTATTTAAAAGTTTGAAATATCCTCTATGGATAAAGAAAAGACTAGAATTAACTAGAAGACTAGCATAGAATTGACAATATTTTAGAAAGGGGATAAAAACTAACCTTGACTTTTTTCTTGAGAAATCCAAGCTGACCTGGTAATTACCACAGGTCAGGTTTTTTAAAAAAAATAAATATATAATTGTTCATAATTCCATAGTACTGAATGGAAAGATGACAGCATTGTAATATACTTTACTGTGAGGAAACCAAAATTGTTACTGCGGGTATGTGATTATTTCCCTTGTATCAATTATTGTTCAAGAAGGACCTAGTTTTTAGTATAAATCATAGTGATGAGATTTTCTGTCGTTTCTAATTCTCACCAAACTATGGAGATGAAAGGGATGCCATCTTTTGTAACCCCTAGCTCAGTGCAAGAATCTTGCTACTAACAGTACCCAAATAAATAGTCATTTAACTTCTGCTTAAATACCTCTAGTAAGGAATAGTCCATCATTTCTTAACTAAGACGAGTTTCTGCAATGAAGAAGCTTAATTCAAATCCTATAACCTGCATTAATTTTGTTCTGCTCTCTACATCACCCGGATGGATCCCATTTTTCTCAAACATTTTAAAATCATGGTGTCCTCTTGTGCATTAAGACTGTAATCAGTAAAAGTGCATTCTTTCTTAAGCTGAGTTTGATACCAGGTGGCTTCATGGGCATATCTTAGTATTTTTTGGCAACAACACAGAAGTAGTTTTGCCCTTGCCAGCTGAGGCTAGGTCACTGCCTTCTTCAGACATTCCTGATAACAATTACAAACTTAAATCTTTTTTATAAAACGATGTGAATTCATTTTAAATAGAAGGGGAAATATCATACATCATGTTGGAAACCTCAGTAATATAAATGAGAAACATTTGTTTTGATAACTGTGAACAGGTGGTGTATGATGTAATAAACTGTTGCTGCTTTGCATTTTCTAATCCGTCTTGACAACAACTTTAGAATCAAAGCTGTTTATAAAAATGCATCTTGTATACAAAGTTGCAACGTTCTGTGTTAACAATTTTGATGTAATTTATAATGTGGGTAGTTCTATAGTAGGTGGATAGATCATTTATTTATACTAAAACTATTTTGCAAGACTGTGTGTATTCTCTCTTGCTGTTCTTTTGCAATCTGGTGGTAATCATTCACATGTTTATGAAGCTTTGCACAGCATGCCACTGTTTTGCAAAACATACCCTCCTTGCTTTTCTTAAGCATTTTAAGGCAGCTGCCATTCAGACAAGTAGAGTAATCCTAAAATGTATACTGTAGAGCACGCCAAAATGAAAATTCTGACACTGGTTTTGTTAGAAACCTGGTATTTTCATGGGACCAATGTTAAATATTTTGCCTTTAATAATAATTTTTAAGAATCTCCATAAGAAACAAGGAACTGGGTACTGAAACTGCCATTTGAAAATTTTATGAGCGTTACACCAAGGTATTATATATTTAATTAAAATGGTATCTCTAAGTTCCATCTAATTGGAGCACTGCACTGCCATTGTCAAATAAGCCCACCAGGAGTTTATCTGCACTGCACTGACAATTGCACTGCCATTGTCATAAACCCAACAACGGGACCAAATCAGTCTCCTTACATTTGCCATTGGTTCAAACCTTATTACTGATCTGGAGGTAAAGCAAATAGGAAGATATCCATGAATAAATCACAGGTGAAATTGGGTGACATATTATCCCTGGATAGGTGTAGAAATTATCCAGGATAAGAAAAGCAGAGGGATGTAACAAAGAATGAAAATTAAGTCCTATGTATAGTTGAGTTGCTAACATAATGTAGTACAAACGTCAGGCTTCCCAGGTTAACTTGGAAGTGGTTTTTAACATTTTATCTGAGAAAAAGGTTGTTTTGTATGGTGTAGAGTTTCCCTTGACATCTTTAAGGCATGTGGGCTTCAACTCCCAGAATTCACCAGCTGGGAAATTCTAGAAATTGAAGTCCATGTTTCTTAAAGTTCCCATGGTTGAGAAACCCTGGTATAAGATAATAGCAGTTAGACTTATATACCGCTTCATAGGGCTTTCAGCCCTCTCTAAGCGGTTTACAGAGTCAGCATATTGCCCCCAATAACAATCTGGGTCCTCATTTTACCCACCTTGGAAGGATGGAAGGCTGAGTCACCCCTGAGCCGGTGAGATTTGAACAGCCGAACTGCAGGACTGCAGTCAGCTGAAGTAGCCTGCAGTGCTGCATTTAACCACTGCGCTACCTCAGCTCTGTTGTCTTTAACCAAGACACTTGGTTTTAAATCTATCTGATTCAAAGACTGAGAATTGAATGGTCAGAACTGAAAATAATGAAGGCCAACAATTACGTTCTATTCTAAACATGTCTTAGCTCAGGTAAATTGTATGCTTGCATGACAGTAGGAAAAAGATATGAGAAGCTACAGAATGAAGTAAAGATGAAGTTTACATATTGATAATTAGAATAATAAATAAGTAATATATTATCATCATTGATAAGATTATGATAAACTCGTAATCTTTGATGAAATACTTGATATATTCTTGCTTTAAACACTTTCTTATACTAGTTGGTTCTTTTGGAAACGCCATAATTGTACATTTGGTCTACTGATACTTTTATTCCTATAAAATACTCTTGTTAGATGGGGGTTCTGAATAGGGGAGAAAAATCCAGATGTTTTCTTTTTACTTGGGTTTTGCAAAACAACTTGTATATTTATGACTGAGTTAAGCAAATCGTACTACAATGTTCCTCCTTTTATAGTCTTCACTATTGATGTAATTATTGTTATTGACTGGGTAGGTTGCTGATGCCTTTGTTAAATAGATAACTTGTGCTTTAAAAGAATCTGATATTAAAGTAATGTTGTAAATGTTAATACTTTCCATTAATCATGAAAAGGGTTGGATATTGGTATTAGAACAAGGCCACTGTTTTCACATCCCAATGTGGGCATATGATTGACAAATGACTGTCTGATCTTAGTTTGAAATGAAATGAGTAGGGGATGAAAAGTGTTACCCCATCTCCAAATAATCTGCTACAAACTTGCAGCAAAGAGAGAAGGTCTAGTTAGTTTCATCTCTAATCACGTTTGTCTGAGCTGCTACCTTTAGGACTTGGATCCATGAAGAAGAATCAGGCAAGGGTCGCCCCAGTAAGGAAATAGACACTCAAAAACATTATTAAAGCTGACAAAAATAAATCAACATAGCTCTCAAATGTTGATCTGGGAACACTGACCTTTGTAGAAGATTTCAGATTAGCACAGAATCTTATGAAAGCCCTGAAGATTTTAAATGCAGCCAAGCTGCTATCTTGAAGCCTGAATAATTAGTGACAAAGGTAATTTTTACCTGCAAAGAAAAATCTGATAAAATACTTAATTTTACAATCAAATGAAGAATAAGAAATGATGAAAGATAAGGGGCAATAATGAATTTAAATTTGGTTTATGTCCGATCATTCATTCTACCTCTTCATAACTTGATATCCTTTCAAACTCTTCTATGACCAAGTCCACGTTCTACATGTATCGCCTTTTGTTCTTTAAACTTCTCACTGCTATCTTTTTCAGGATCTCGTTAATCTCATTCTACATAACTGTCTCAGTCTATCTCTTCTTATCAGATCCCAAAAATCAAGAAAGAGACATGGTGATTCTTCCAAGCAGATTTCTTTATTGTTGCACATCTATAGACAAAGCCTTGCCAAACCGTAGCACTCTTTATCAAAATCAGGCATATATTCCGATAACTACTAGGGAGGGGCTGTCTTTACCCTCTTTCTACCATACAAACTGTCTGAACTGAGTTGCCTCTTACTCCTTTGCAATGTACTCCTGAGAATCCAGCCCATTGCCTTCAATCACATTTGACCCATTCATTCTTCTTCATGTATTTCTTTTGCAGCTTCACCTTAATTCAGTTTCTATGACCAAATGCATTGTTGTATTTATTTCACCTTCATTCACCATCCATTCATTATGACCTGATCTTTCTTTGTTTTACTATCCACAATCCTTATATTGCATTCCACTAACAGCCATAGGTTCTGTATTTTATGCCATGTCCATCAGCAGAAAAAATATCCATTGAAAAAAATTATTGGCTTATTTCAATTTCAAGCTTTTTCAAAACATTTTGGAACGATTCAAGTGTTTGTAAGAAGAGGAAAATGAATGAGGATTTTCATCTGAGCAGAAATTTCTTGCACAATCTTGTGTAGAATGTTGCATTTGGATAGATGGAATTTGAATAAAAGCTTTCCCAAAAATGATGATGAAATCCTGAGTAATCCCTTGTTTATGACATCTACTACTCCAAGAAATACTATGTCAAATATGGAAATGTCATGATTCTTAATGCAAGTCTTGACTTTTGTGATCGGTTTTCAAAATTCTTAACGGAGTGTTGATTTAAGCAGTCGTCCATTTCACAGTAACTATTCTAAGCAATGAAGGGAATATTTAAAAATCAAGTAAAACCAGATTGGAGACCAGTGCAATGGGGCTGCTCCTGAAGAACATCCAGAAGCTCTATGAATTGTGGAGTGGTGATGGCAGTGGCCTAACAGTTGTGCAGATGGTTCCTTTAGCCAGATTTCTGTTCATAGGCAACCAACAATAAACTACTCAGAAGTAACTCCTTGTGTCGTTTTAGATTCCTTGGTCCTGACAAACTTTGAGCTTCCAAACGTTTTTCAAGGACAATGCCACGTGTGGCACTAATTCAAAAATCCAAACTGGACTCAAGGCTGTTGGTGAACACATGCAGTGAAGTGAAAGAGTAGGTTTAATTATGAATGAAAGGGCTAAAAACTATGTCAGAAAGAATAAATTTGTATCACCTCAGTGGTTTTGGATGTGCAAGGAAGTAGG